GGAGATGCTCTCCCGGGAAAGCCCGCCTGAAGCACGGGGCGCAGAGCCGGGGCCGCGCGAGGGGTGTAAGTCCCCTGCCCTAACCTGGTGGGAGCCGGGGTGGGGTGGGGGGGGATGAAGGATGAAGGAGCGAGGTCCGGGCTTGCATGAAAGTCTGTCTTACCGCCTTTCGGGTTTCAAACACGTGTTTCATGCCACGACACTTTCTTCTTGTTGTTCTGTTTTAACGTCTCCAGCACACATCCACATCCTTTCTGCTGTAACGTATCAGCTCAAAAAACCAGTCATCGCGCCCTGTGCTGGCAGGCCGCCGGTGCGGAGGGTACAGGCAGAGTTTAGGATATTAATTGCAAATCTTCAACGCCATCTTCTGAAATTTAAATGTAATTATCGCCACGTTTTGGGGGAGAAGTGAGAAGTGCAGGTGTTTTTAGATACCGGGTTTGTAACACGCCATCCCATCCTCTAAAAAAAAAGAATTGGCAGTGTCCATCAGAAATCTTTTCAGTCATGAGTTAAGGCACCTTCAAAATATTAAAATACGTCTTTAAGATTGGAGGTGACTGCCACCATAAATCAAGAGGAGCAACCGCAGCTTTATCAAAAGGCATCTGAAAGGCTTTCTAAAAATCCAATTTCGATTCCTAGGGGCAAGGCTGTGGTGGTACTCAGGGCGCCAACTGTAATTTCATTAAGTATAAAACCTTCTTGAAATACATCACTATAAAATGAACACTTCTAATGCCTTCTCTTTTTTGCAGCTTTTAAGGCAGCAGATTCTGGGCCAGTGTGAAACATGCGGATCTGATCCGCATTAGGTCAAACCCTTCAGGGGAAAAAAAGAAAAAAAAAAAGCATCTTTCTCAAACTTTGGAGAATACTTTGAAAAAATAATTGTACTCGTCCAAAGAAATCCATGTACCAATAGAGAGATAGGGGAGTTACACATTCAGAAATCTTTGAGAGAAGACGAGTCAATCATAAAAAACCCAGACAGTACATATGCGGGAAATCACCTGGCTGGGTGGTTGGTTGCTGTCTTGGTGCAGCAAGGACTCTATTAGAAAACTGTCTCCACTTGCCTAAATTTTAGAGGGGATGCTTAAAGCCAGACCCCTACATGCACACTTGGCCTTTGCAAATTAAGTCTTCTCATGAGTAAGATGTGCTAATCTCATTAGCTCTGCTGACTTCGTTACTTGGGGTTTCTGGATGTCAGCCACTTCCATTTAAGATGGCAAAAGGATTTAGGACCACCCTTTTGGTCTGTAAAGTAGAAAACTCTGATCAATAACACAACTGTGGCGTCTGCATTAAATGCTGCAGCAGTGCGCCGGTAAACTTTCGTTGGGTGCTTTTTGCATATATGAAGAGAATGATTCCTCCCTAATTGGCCTTGCTGGTGATCAGAACACTTAGAGCACCTCAAGCCTGCTCATTTTTTTTCTAGTGATTTCCACACCATTGCGAGTGCCTGACCCTTCAAACCTTACCCAAAAGCCCTGCTGCCCTCATGGAAGTTTTCTGTGTCGGTGACTGAATTGAAGTCCTTTTGTGAAAATGCTCTCGCTGCTGTTTAACCACGGCAGTCACCACCAGGCCCCCCTGGTTTTCACACTCTTAAGGTCACACTGACTAAAGGCATGCCAGGAAAAGTGACTGTTTCTTCTCAACAGTTGCTCGCAAGCCCTCAGCGCGTAGAAAGCTGCCTTCTGCTTTCAACAAACCCCTCTGAAGTTCCAGCCGACTCACCTGGGAATTGCACCCAAGGCAGAGAAGCAAAGAGAGACGCCGGCTCACGCCGGCTGCCGGGGGCTCTCTGAAATGGGTCCATACGGAAAGGTGCAGTGCTGAGCCAAAGGGCACACATATTAAATGCTCTTGCTCTCAGGAGTTTGGTCCTCCTTTCCTTCAGGAAGGTTGCCCTTGCTCTCCTGGCTGTGAAGGCTCTCCTGCCTCCCAAATAACCACTGGGTGAACCCAGTCTCTAAGCTAGAGGGACCTGTCGGAAACACACCAGAAGCAGCACGTCTGGCAGCGGAGGCCCTCTGAGGATTGCCGCTCGTTCAGGGGCTCTCCCCGCGCCGGAGACCACGAAATCCCCTCGGGCACCGGCGCAGGGGGAGTTCCTCGGTGCAGAAGAGGAACCTGCCGAGGCTGAGCAAGGGGCACCCACTCCCTCGCGCCTCCTCCCACCTGGGCCAAGAGGACTGGTTGTGCTGGCCATCCATCTGCCCACAGCTCTGGTGGGAACGTGCTTGGGATGGCAGGTCCTGGTGGGCACTAAAGGTTGGGCCCCTGGCACACTCTCTGCAGCCCCGAACAGACCCTCCGGTGAGCAGGAGTGTGGCAGGGAGAGACCTCCTTCCCCAGCGACCCAGCTCTGGTCTTGGGTGAAGACCCTGACCAGGGCTCTTCAGGAACCCAGCAAACCTTGTGCTGAAGCCCTTGACAAATGACATTGGGAAATGCATTTTCAGAAGTGAATTAAGTCCCTAAAAGCGGTTTTGAAAAGCCTGCAGCTGCCTGTCTACATCTTTAGCTGCCCCAAAACCCCTTTGCTGAGATTGGAGGAGTTTAAAGGGCTCAACGCCTTGCTGTTGGCACCGGTTTCCACTGGGCATCTTCTTCCCTCAGTAGTCCTCGCAAATCCCTGGTTGGAAGTCTTTGTGAGATGATGCCCAAAGCAGCAGCGCAACTCAAGACCCCGAGAAGCAGCGCTATTAAAGCCTCACAACCCCACACTTCAGTCAACAGCTCCGTTCACACGTCACTTACTTACACAGCAGAAAGACCTCCGTGGATGGCATTGATGGAATTCAGAGACACCGTGGAAGTTTTGGGGCAGATTCCCAATTACTTTGATTTATTCCAGCAA